ATCTTGTACTAAACGAATCTAACTTGCTTTGTTGTCTAGATGGCTAAACAAAGTAAATATTTTGCGTTTTATGTCAATTTATTCCGTAACTGTGCGTATTTATTTAAATATATTTTGAATATTCGTGTTAATGTAAGTATATCAAGTTATGACTATCAAGTTTGTGTTGTGCTTTATCCATTTAGCATAACATTATCGTTGCTTATGTACTGTAACCTTGTCCGCAAAACGGGCGAAAGTCATAGTTTGTATCAAATATAGAAAGAAAGCTATCGCCATTAAGCCGTATTATTTACGACCAGCGGGAGTCCGCATTGTCGATTATAATTAGATGCGCAAGTCTGCAAGTCCATACAAGTGCGATGAATACCCATGATTTCATACCTTTCATGTTTATATTGTACACAAACATCGTCTTGATTATTTCTTATAAATAAAATATGAAACTACAACTTTATAATATGAAATACAACATGAAATTGTTGCATTTGTATTGACTTGCGTCTTGCGCAACTAATTATAATCGACAATGCGGACTCTCGCTAGTCGTAAATAATACGGCTTAATGGCGATAGCTTTCTTTCTATATTTGATACAAACTATGACTTTCGCCCGTTTTGCGGACAAGGTTACAATACATAAGCAACGACAATTTTATGCTAAATAGATAAAGCACAACACAAACTTGATAGTCATAACTTGATATACCTACATTAACACGAATATTCAAAATATATTTAAATAAATACGCACAGTTACGGAATAAATTGACATAAAACGCAAAATATTTACTTTGTTTAGCCATCTAGACAACAAAGCAAGTTAGATTCGTTTAGTACAAGATGCTATGTACAACATTAAACCAAAATGGCAATTGCGGAAAGCGATTTTATGAGTCAGCACAATGGGTTTCCATTTAACCTGTGTTTATTGACGTTTTAGGCTATATAACTGCTCACGTGAAGAACGAATAATAAAATAAAAATCGGTAAAAAATTCACCAGGTCAAAATCTATAACATTAAACCATGACAGGTTAAAACTTATGGGGCGCCAAATGTGTTTTTATTATTTAAACGTTTTATGTCGCATTTTCAAATGATTTAGTTAATTATATCAAATAACCAAATATCACAATGTGGTTATTTAAAATAACCACTTTTTGTCAAAATGATTTAATTTGGTTATTTAAAATAACCAATTTTTTCGAAATGATTTATTTTGGTTATATCAAATAACTACTTTTGACAACATGGTTTATTTTGGTTATATCAAATAACCACTTTTGACAACATGACTTATTTTGGTTATATCAAATAACCACTTTTGACAACGTGATTTATTTTGGTTATATCAAATAACCACTTTTAACAACATGACTTATTTTGGTTATATCAAATAACCACTTTTGACAACGTGATTTATTTTGGTTATATCAAATAACCACTTTTGACAAATTGGTTATTTCAAATAACCAAAATAACTTTTCGACACTTGGCGAGCCAAATGACGCAGGATACAAAACAGATTTAGCCGCCCTCTCCCAGGGGCTTCGATTGTCAACTACGAACATCTCCGGCGTGAAAACTGAAAACATTGTTCGGCTTCAACAGTTCGATTTATATTTTAATTATACAATAAACCATTTTTGCTTCTTTGCTTCTTGTCATGGCGTCAGAAAGGTTAGGAAGGTCGTTGACCGAGGCAATCGGACGTACTATTCGCGAAACAATTAATGATTCAGCAGAGATAAGTTTTATATAAATATGTGCATGCTCATTAATAGTAAATTTGAATAATATATTTACACGCTGGCCATGTGACAAGGTTTCACAAGTTGCTAGGCTTTGCTAGGCTACGTTAGTGTCTTGTCAGTAATATAAGCCCGTTAGGCCGTATTTACTTGTCTACGGCGCTGGCTAAACGTACGAAAACAGTGTGCATCTATGAAAGCTTATCTTGCATGCTACTTTTACGTTTTATGTGGTGTTTGAGCGTTCGTCTTGAGCAAGCATGCTATAGAGGAGGGTAAAGGAGGCTAGTGGTGCCAAAATATATTAATCATTTACAGATATCATGGACCTATGCAGACCCTCCGAATATAAGCCCCCCCTCCCAAATATAAGCCCCCCGTGTATAAGCCCACCACTTGTACTAACGCTCACCTCATTCCAAAATTATATAAGCCCCCCCCCCCAAATATAAGCTCACCCGAATATAAGCCCACTTGTTTATCACTATTGTTTATCACGATTACCACTGTTTGAAACTTTATATATTTCTAATATTATTACATGAAGTATTACGATAACAAATAAATTTAAAGTAATGTTGCGTAATCTGTCACAGTCCCCGGGTTGATCATTAAACATGATCAAATGACTAACTTAAACTAAATATGAACCGATGAACATTTTCCTAATGTTTTTACGTTTGTTCTGATTCCTAATGTTTTTACGTTTGTTTTGACAGTTTTCGTACAAGTTCTCCTTGAACAGCTGCCTTTCTTTTTGGTCGATTCTTCTTCTCTACAACGGCAGTCTTAACATCAATGTCTAATGGTTCTGTACTGAGATCTTGTGTTCCGGATGATTCTTCATTCACATCAACTAGTTCTTCTTCATGCTTGTTTTCAAGCGAATTTCCAATGGGATTAAATGTTGTATAGGTCTTCGTATGATGATAGGCTTTCGAGTCTCACTGTTCAACACTCGAATCTTCGCTGATCTTACAACACCGTCAGTACTTCGAATAAGCTCTTCGACCTTCGCTATTTTCCAAAATAACCGTTTCGTGCTCTCATTCTTCAAAATTACAATGTCTCCTTCGACAATTACGTCCCTTGTACCGTTGTTACTCGATCTCGCTGCTTCGCGAATACTTAGCAAATATTCTCGTCTCCATTGTTTAGTGAATTCCTTTAGTAGAGTTTTGTGATGTCGAGCTCGTCTTGTCAAAGACTCGTTTGTGCTCACTATCTCGAACTGTCTGTCGTTTGGTGTAGTCGTCGTTCTCCGTCCATAAAGTAGACAAGATGGCGTAAGGGGGTACGATATGCCCTCTTCATCATCGTATATGTACGTAATTGGACGATTATTTAACGTTGACTCAATCTCGATCAAGATCGTGCGTTACTCTTCAAACGATAACGTAGCTCGACCAATGGACTTTTTTAGGCACCTTTTAACACTCTTTATCAAACGTTCCCAAAAACCCCCGTGCCATGGGGCCTTTTCGATAATGTATTTCCAAGAAACGCCATTTTTTGCGAGATGTTGTTGCACTTCGGGAGAACGCTTAATTTTTGACAGTTCCTTGCTAGCGGATTTAAATGTCTTTGCGTTATCTGAAATTATCATTCTTGGAAGTCCTCTCCGACCTGAAAATCTACGAAATGCTTGTAAGAATCCTTCGGCTGATAAACTCGGAAGCAGTTCTACATGAATTCCACGTGTTGACGCACAAGTAAATAGAGCGATGTATGACTTTTTTGTTGATTGTTGACCACACTTTGAGTTCTCTTTGACGTTGAGGGGTCCAGCGAAATCCACTCCTGTGTAACTAAAGAGAGGGTCATCACTTGTTCGCCAAGATGGTAGGTGCGGAGTCTTGGGCGTAGGGTACGGCTTCCCTTCTAATCTTTTACAAGTCACACATTTACGTAGAACTCTCTTGACTGCTTGCCTTCCATGTAGGATCCAATATCTTTCTCGAATACGGTTCAGTGTTCCTTTAATACCGAATTGGAATTTGTCAGTTTTAACGTTCCAGTTAGATCCTAATATATTGACAGGCATAATTTTCTTGCTATGTTGTTTTGAATCAATCTCTTTTACACTTTCGAAAACTGAACTTGATGTCGTTTGTGTTCCGTTTGACAATGTATCTTTCTCAATTCGATCTTGTAAAACCTTGGAATTCGAATTCCATTTACGCAAAACAAATCCACCCTTCTTCATTACATCTTGAGATTTATCGTAAATGTCCAATGCTTGTTGATCATTATCAGCTCCTCCTGCGAAGTCGTCAACGTAGAGCGATTCTTTTAACAACTGGGGTACAACAGAACCTTTTTCGTCATGTTGTGATAAATGATTTTGTATCACGGTGGACAAAATTGCTGGACTCGGTGTTAAGCCGAATACAAGGCGTCGAAATTCGAATCTTTTAATAGTGGGATTGTCCTTTCGAATGTCATCGAACCAAAGGAACCTAAGCATACAACGATCGGATGGACTAATCTGCACTTGATGAAAGGCCATTTCAATATCAGAAACAATCCCCACTGGATAACTTCTGAATTTTATTATTGTATCAAATAATGGCGGTATAAGGTTGGGACCCTTTTGTAAGCATTCATTTATGGATGGACTGTCTATATCCGGTCTTGCTGATCCATCGAAAACCACTCGTAGTTTTGTAGTCTCTCTCTCGGACTTCAACACTCCATGATGCGGTAAGTAGTAACCCTCGCTGTCGTCTTCTTCCGGTACTGATTCGATGATACCACTATTTATTTGCTGCTGAATGACTTGATTATATTCTTCAAGAAGAGTATTGTCTTTCTTCAGACGTGAATGCAGTTGTCGCAATCTGTTGACACACATACCATATCCTGTTGACTTTGGAAAACAGTCCTGTTTCCAAGGCAGATTAACTTCATATTTTCCTTCGCCTTTATCAAAATGTATCTCGGGTAGAAATTCCGTTGTCTGGGTTTCACTAAACGTATCATTCTTGATACCAATCGATTCGGTCTCCCAGAATCTTTGAAGACTACCTGTCAGGTTATCATCTCGTTTGATGCTGCTGGGCAATAGATATGTTGCTGGTTCTTCTCGTTCGATTACTAAGTGCGATAATGTTGCATTGTTATTTTTTCCAATGTCTCTCGATGGCCCAGAGAGAACCCATCCAAATTTGCTGTTGACAGCCACTGGACCACCTTCTCCTCTTACAACTTCCCCAATTACAATGTCGTAGTAATAATCAGATCCTATCAAGATGTCGATTTCATCGTGACTGTTCTCGGCGAGAGAGGAATCAGCAAGATCCAATCCCATCAAATGCGGATATTTGTCGAGCTTAATCTTGGTAGGAAGAGGTGAACAGATTTTCTCAAAACAAAGAGCTGAAATTTCGATATCTTTGCCTTCTTTGCCTTTCAGGTTTAAACTAACAACATCACATTTCTGTTTTGTGAATTTATCCTGCCCAAATGTGTTCAAGTTAAGCGTTTCTTTCTTTACTGGTTGAAGGCCAAGTCGTTTCTTCAGATGATTGGTTGCGTATGATCTTTGACTACCACTGTCTAAAAGCACTCGAACAGGAATAGCTCTGTTGCTATGTTGAGAATAAGCATGTGTCGTGGCAGTTTGCAAAAGCACCTTTGATGAGCCGTTCGATGTTGTAGTTGTTGTGAGGTTCTGCGTTTCCTTTTTCTCCTCTTTCGCTTCTGGTTTTGTTGTTTCTTCAGGATTGATCTTTCGAAATGTTTTGGTAGCTTTAGTACAAATAGATTGATGGTGTTTGCCATTGCACCAACGACAGAGCCTGCCATTTTCACATTCATGTGCACAATGACCATCTTGCAAACATAAATAGCAACGTTTCTGATCTCTTAAAATGCCCTTTCGATCATTCACATCTTTTACATGTTCGCACGATGCTGAGTAATGATATTGTCCACAATAGACACATTTTATCTTTCGCTCATTTCTTCCATCTTTAACGAATAGACTTGCCGCAGACGAACTGTAATTCCGCTGTCGATTTTGTTTCCATACTTCATTTTGCTTGCGAATGTCATTAAAACTAGAATTGTTTGTACGAACACTCTCACTGATCTCCCGTGCTTCCACTTCCTTTCGAATAATGTCTAGAATATCGTCAATTTTCCAAAGTTCACTGGCAGTCTTTCTTGCAACATGGATTCGTAACTCGGGTGGTAGTTTTGCCATGATTACTGGAATGAGTAGACTACCATATTGTTTTACTCGATTTTACTCCAAGTGCCTCAA